TGAGTGGACATCGACGTTCAAAATCCCATACGTAAAATATAAAAAGCATATTCTAGAGGAAATTAACAATTACATTGAGGAAAACCTAATGGGGAATCTGAACTTGGAAAAATCAGCAAAATTATTTATGCAGCGCAAATGGCATATGAACAGTTAACCAAAAAGCCGCAAAGAGCGGGGGACTGGAAATATCCATTGAACAAATCAATCCAAGAGAAAGAAAATATGATGAAAATAATTGAAAAACAAATAGAATCTGGAAAAATGAACAGCAAAGAAAACCACATGGTAAAACAAGTAGCCAAGAAATATAGAAGCGACCCCAGGAAAATATCAGATTTAAAAATAGTTCAAGAAAAAATAAACCAAGAAATAAAAGTAATACAGAAAAGAATAGAGGTATCAGAAAAAAGAAGTGAATTTAATAAGACAAATTATATGTTTGAACTGAATAGGGGAGCATTTTACAGAAAATTAAAGCCACAAAAAGCAAATGAAGGCCCCATTAATGAAGAAGATTTAACAAATTTCTGGTCCAAAACTTGGGCGAAGAATCAAGACCTCGATATTCCGGAATACCTCATCCAGAATATTGAGAAAACAAACAAACCTATCGAGCAAATAGAAATAACAAAAGAAGAATTCGAGGAAACATTGAAAAATTTGCCAAATTGGAAAGCAGGCGGTATAGATAAAATTTATAATTTCTTTATTAAAAAATTGACCCCGCTACACGAAGATCTATATAAAGCCGTTGTTCAAGCTATAAGGAATCCAGAAACAATTCCAGATTGGATGTTTACTGCAAAAACCTTCTTGTTTCCTAAAGGAGGAGAGAACACCCCCAGCAACTACCGCCCCATAAGTTGCATGAGCAACCTGTACAAATTAATCACGCGGATATTATCTAGAAAGCTGAACAAATACATAGATAAGGAACGATATCTGTCTATCAATCAGATAGGAACGACGCAGCGAACTCAAGGCGCCAAGGAACAGGTCTTATTAAACAAAGCTATATGCAAAGAACACGCAAATAAACTGAAAACCATGTGGATCGACATAGCGAAAGCTTTTGACAGCATCGACCACAAATACCTCCTTAAGATATTGGAAACATCAAGAGTTCCAAAAGAAATTGAACAATTCGCAAAAATTGCCCTAGACAAATGGCAAGCACAGTTGTACTATGGCAAGCAGTGCCTCAAAACAGTGAAAATAGAAAGAGGAATATTGCAGGGAGATGGGCTATCACCTCTATTCTTCGTCATGTGCCTCGAGCCGATAACAAGGGAGCTCAACAAAGAAGACAGTCCCCAAGTGGAGATGAGAGTGGGAGAGGAAAAAATTAAAATAAATCACCTATCGTTTATAGACGACATAAAAATATTTTCCTATAGCGACAAGGATCTTGAGCTCTTAGCGAACAAGACAACTCAGCTTTTGAATAATATAGGCTTCAAAATCAACCCGACAAAAACAGCGACAAACTCCACAGAAATTCAGGAATTTGGGACACTGGCAGAAAAAGAAACATATAAATATTTAGGTGTTCTAGAGGATAACACCAGCGCAGTCGTCCCAGAAAATAAAGAGAGAATAAAAAGAGAAATAGTATCCAGAATGGAATCTTTAGCGGAAACCAAGCTGAACGCTAAAAACCTCTTCGCTGCTTTCAACGAATTTTCGCTCTCGCTCATAAACTACTACGTTGGAATCGTGGAGTTTAGTGAGCGAGAACTAGAAATGTTGGACCAAAAGGTGAGAACAACGCTGAGCAAATTCAAAATCCATCTTAAGCCAGCAAATAAAGAAAGATTATATCTTCAACGCGAAGAAATGGGAAGAGGATTGGTGAACTTGGTCCAAAAAAACGAAAGAATTCTGCTAAGCCTCTACAAGTATATATTTGGGGGGGAGACAACAAAAAGAAAGGAAGCCATTAAAGCGTGTGAACAGGGCGAAAACACAATGCTCACGCACATCCAACTAATTATAGAAAACAAGTACAAAATAGAAGCCCAAAACATCACAATGAAAACTCTGAAAGAAAAACAGATTGAAAATCTAAGAGAAATCATTGGCCAGAAAATAATCCACAGAACATTCTTTAAAAATGAAGACCAACCGCTATTGGACATGATAGAATCCTCACAGTGGCTCAAAACGGGAAACAACACACCACAAAATGAAGGATTCTACATGTTCATACAAGATAGAAACGTGTTCCCGAAGGATAAGAACCTGAAATGCCCTCACTGTGAAAAGGTACAGAGGACGGTGGACCACCTTGCTACAAACTGTGGAAGATTGCTTCCTTACGACTACACTGAGAGGCATAATGAAGTAGTGAGATGCGTCCACTTCAACTTGGCAAGAAAATATAATTTCACAGAGAACAAGAAGATAAAGCTCCACAAAATAACGACTAAGATTGAAAATTCATACGCCAAGATAATAACGGACCTGCCAATGATAAGCGATATCAATATCAGAGCTAACAAACCTGATATAATAGTATATGACAAAATAAAAAAAGACATAACAATCATAGAGATAGGGGTTACCTCCCAAGACAATATCCAAACTACGGAGCTGACAAAGAAAAGAAAATACCAGCTACTGGCGAGGGAAATGGCCCAAACTGAAAAAATGCCCGTAAAAGTAGTGCCGATAGTCTTAACATGGGAAGGAATAGTAACCAAATATAACAAACAATACAGGAAGGAAATAAACATAAGAAAAAGGGACTTTGCATATATTCAATCCCTGGTGCTAAAAAAGACGATGGAAATTATCTCAACAGAAAAGAAGAATAAACCTTACGATAAGTTACAGAGAAATAAAGAAATGGAAGCCATGGATAGATTGTTGGAACGATGTAGGGAGCTGGCATGTGATGACGAGGAAGGTGGAACACCGGACATGGAGCACAGGGATACGACGACCATAGAAGAGATCCAGGAGAACGACCTAGAGCAGATGACAGGAGACCTGACAGACAAGAATGGATCAAGGCCAGGGGACCATCTTATCGAGGAGCCACTAGTAGAGGCCATAGAAAGACTGCTGGAGAGCTGCAGGACATCAGGGGACCATAACGGCAAGGGCCACAGCACTGACCAGGAGTCATGATAGCAAATGTAAATATCTTTGTTTACTTTTACTGTTGTCATTTATTGAAGTTGTAAATAAAAATATGTAAATACACTGACCATTCGCTACACTTTTTAGAGAAAAACTTGTAACCTTTTGGAAAATAAATTTATTATATTATTATCAACTTACATAGTCACAACCGTCATGGGCCGGCCGGCCGGCCGGTTCTGTCACGGATGCGCGCGCATCATCAATATGATCATTATCATTATCTAATGATAATAATAATAATAATAATTATTATTATTATTATTATATTATTATTATTATCCATCCATTATATATATAGTCACGACCGTCATGGGCCGGCCGGTTCTATCACGGATGCGCGCGCACAGGGAGGTCACGTGCTTGCTGGCAGCCAACGGGCGCGCGCCGCCGGCATTACGTCATAGATTATAAACACAAGGTAATAAGGCCAAATAAAAAAATAGTGTGTGATAAGGCACAATTATTATTATATTATTATTATTATCCATCCATCAACTTATATAGTCACGACCATCATGGGCCGGCCGGTTCTGTCACGGATGCACGCGCACAGGGAGGTCACGTGCTCGCCGGCAGCCAACGGGCGCGCGCCGCCGGCATTACGTCATAGATTATAAACACAAGGTAATAAGGCCAAATAAAAAAATAGTGTGTTATAAGGCACAATTTGGATTATCTACTTATATATTTGCCTTATTCTCTCTGTGTGAAGTTCACCCTGTGAAGTTCACGGATAGATTTTGGTCAGAATGGATAAAATAAAAAAAGTGTCAAGGGATGGGAATCGAACCCACGACCTTCCGCTTACGGGGCAGATGCCATGACCACTAGGCTACCCTGGACATATTTTTCCGTTCACATTTTTATTTTTATATTTTCAAGACACACACAGTTTGGGGACGTTTCACAAGAGAGACATCCACGGCGCCAATTTATAATTGTAACGAATAGTATTTTACCTAAAACATTTTAAAAATATATACGCACTCGGGTAAAACCCGGGCGTTGCCCGGGCCATTCGTCTAGTCAACATATATAGTCACGACCGTCATGGGCCGGCCGGCCGGTTCTGTCACGGGTGCGCGCGCATCATCATTATGATCATTATCATTATCTAATGATAATAATAATAATAATTATTATTATTATTATTATATTATTATTATTATCAACATATATAGTCACGACCGTCATGGGTTCTGTCACGGATGCGCGCGCATCATCATTATGATCATTATCTAATAATAATGATAATAATAATAATAATTATTATTATTATTATTATTATTATTATTATATTATTATTATTAACATATATAGTCACGACCGTCATGGGCCGGTTATGTCACGGATGCGCGCGCACAGGGAGGTCACGTGCTCGCCGGCAGCCAACGGGCGCACGCCGCCGGCATTACATCATCCCTATATATAGTCACGACCGTCATGGGCCGGCTGGCCGGCCGGCCGGTTCTGTCACGGATGCGCGCGCATCATCATTATGATCATTATCATTATCTAATGATAATAATAATAATAATAATAATTATTATTATTATTATTATTATATTATTATTATTATTAACATATATAGTCACGACCGTCATGGGCCGGTTATGTCACGGATGCGCGCGCACAGGGAGGTCACGTGCTCGCCGGCAGCCAACGGGCGCGCGCCGCCGGCATTACGTCATAGATTATAAACACAAGGTAATAAGGCAAAATAAAAAAATAGTGTGTGATAAGGCACAATTTGGATTATCTACTTATATAATTGCCTTATTCTGTCTGTGTGAAGTTCACTGTGTGAAGTTCACGGATAGATTTTGATCAGAATGGATAAAATAAAAAAATTTCAAGGGATGGGAATCGAACCCACGACCTTCCGCTTACCGGGCAAATGCCATGACCACTAGGCTACCCTGGACATATTTTTCTGTTCACATTTTTATTTCTATTTTTTCAAGACACACACAGTTTGGGGCGGGACGTTTCACAAAAGAGAGATCCACGGCGCCAATTTATAATTCTACGAATAATATTTTAATTAAAACATTTTAAAAATATATACGCACTCGGGTAAAACCTGGGCGTTGCCCGGGCCATTCGTCTAGTCAACATATATAGTCACGACCGTCATGGGCCGGTCGGCCGGTTCTGTCACGGGTGCGCGCGCATCATCATTATGATCATTATCATTATCTAATGATAATAATAATAATTATTATTATTATTATTATATTATTATTATTATCAACATATATAGTCACGACCGTCATGGGTTCTGTCACGGATGCGCGCGCATCTTCATTATGATCATTATCTAATGATAATGATAATAATAATAATTATTATTATTATCATTATTATTATTATATTATTATTATTATCCATCTATTATATATATAGTCACGACCGTCATGGGCGGGCCGGTTCTGTCACGGATGCGCGCGCACAGGGAGGTCACGTGCTCGCTGGCAGCCAACAGCCGCGCGCCGCCGGCATTACGTCATAGATTATAAACACAAGGTAATAAGGCCAAATAAATAAATAGTGTGTGATAAGGCACAATTATTATTATATTATTATTATTATCCATCCATCAACTTATATAGTCACGACCGTCATGGGCCGGCCGGTTCCGTCACGGATGCGCGCGCACATCATTATGATCATTATCATTATCTAATGATAATAATAATAATAATTATTATTATATTTTATTATTATTATTATCCATCCAGTATATATATAGTCACGACCGTCATGGGCCGGCCGGTTCTGTCACGGATGCGCGCGCACAGGGAGGTCACGTGCTCGCCGGCAGCCAACGGGCGCGCGCCGCCGGCATTACGTCATAGATTATAAACACAAGGTGATAAGGCCAAATAAAAAAATAGTGTGTTATAAGGCACAATTTGGATTATCTACTTATATAATTGCCTTATTCTCTCTGTGTGAAGTTCACCCTGTGAAGTTCACGGATAGATTTTGGTCAGAATGGATAAAATAAAAAAAGTGTCAAGGGATGGGAATCGAACCCACGACCTTCCTCTTACGGGGCAGATGCCATGACCACTAGGCTACCCTGGACATATTTTTCCGTTCACATTTTTATTTTTATATTTTCAAGATACACACAGTTTGGGGCGGGACGTTTCACAAAAGAGAGATCCACGGCGCCAATTTATAATTGTTACGAATAATATTTTAATTAAAACATTTTTAATATATATACGCACTCGGGTAAAACCCGGGCGTTGCCCGGGCCATTCGTCTAGTCAACATATATAGTCACGACCGTCATGGGCCGGCCGGCCGGTTCTGTCATGGGTGCGCGCGCATCATCATTATGATCATTATCATTATCTAATGATAATAATAATAATAATAATTATTATTATTATTATTATTATTATTATTATTATATTATTATCAACATATATAGTCACGACCGTCATGGGTTCTGTCACGGATGCGCGCGCATCATCATTATGATCATTATCATTATCTAATGATAATGATAATAATAATAATAATTATTATTATTATTATTATATTATTATTATTATCCAATCATTATATATATAGTCACGACCGTCATGGGCCGGCCGGTTCTGTCACGGATGCGCGCGCACAGGGAGGTCACGTGCTCGCCGGCAGCCAACGGGCGCGCGCCGCCGGCATTACGTCATAGATTATAAACACAAGGTAATAAGGCCAAATAAAAAAATAGTGTGTGATAAGGCACAATTTGGATTATCTACTTATATAATTGCCTTATTCTCTCTGTGTGAAGTTCACTGTGTGAAGTTCATGGATAGATTTTGGTCAGAATGGATAAAATAAAAAAAGTGTCAAGGGATGGAAATCGAACCCACGACCTTCCGCTTACCGGGCAGATGCCATGACCACTAGGCTACCCTGGACATATTTTTCCGTTCACATTTTTATTTTTATATTTTCAAGACACACAGTTTGGGGCGGGACGTTTCACAAGAGAGACATCCACGGCGCCAATTTATAATTGTAACGAATAGTATTTTAATTAAAACATTTTGAAAATATATACGCACTCGGGTAAAACCCGGGCGTTGCCCGGGCCATTCGTCTAGTATATATATATTAATATAATATATTTTACATAATAGCCATTTATTCAAAAAACTAATTTTAAAAAAGCGGGGGGGGGGGGATTTCAACAAGAATGTGACAAGGTTTCTTCAAAATTTATTTAGTTGTAAAAATGAAATGCTATATTTTTTCAGCATTATCACAATATTTTATATTTCCAGATGTAACATTGAGAGGAAATAGGCCTGTTGGAGTCACTGTCACTTTTCCAAGCCTGGAATATCCCAAAGATTAGATTATTTAGGTAGAGGCAAAAGATTGATGACGGTATACTTGCAAATTCTTTTTTTCGCAACTACTGTTATCTATATATATATGTAGTATATTTTGAGTTAGATAGTTCACAACCTTCTTCTGATATTTATTATAACCCCATCTCTATATAAAAATATGTATCGACCTTGTAAAAATGGATGTCACAAATAAACAAAGAGGCAGGAGGTAGACCAGACGACGCCATAAACCAGACGGCGACAATGACCCGGCGCCAAGAAAGTGGCGTGATTATAGGAACCAATCAGGACTCTCCGCCATATGCGGGAGTCCAATATAAAAAGGCCCAGAAAAGAGACAAAGGTAGTTGTTTTCAGAGTGACGCCGTTATACGGTCGGTCGGATCTCTCACCCCTTCTTCTATCCGCGATGTAGGCTTAGGGCATCCGCGGCGCCCGTGGTTCGACTGCCTTCGTCCGTGGTCTACCCCTACCTCTTGGAGCTACCATCTAGACCTGCCTCTGTTCCTTAATGTCCCCGTGCGGGAATCCCATCACGCACCCACGACCACGACTGCCCAGTACATTCCACATCGGCTTGGTCGGGATTACTACAGAACCCGTTAAAGTCGACAGGATAACTGAGGACAGCAGCATGCAGAGGATGACGGAGGTCAGAGACGACTACGTCGCGGATGCCCTCACCAACATGCAGCCTCACTGCGAAGACCTAGTAAGCCGCCTAACAGACGCCATTCGGGGACTAGCCGTGTCTCGTGCCGAGGAAGTCATCATCGCCCCCATCGACATCTCCTGCGCCACGAACATCTTCTCCCATCGGCTCGAACAGGCAGACAAGATTCATCGAGAAATCCTGGCATTGCCCCGCCAACCAGCATCGACGATGTCCCATGGTAACCACCGCAAAAAAAGATCACCAAACCTCATCGCAACCCACTCCACAAGACCCATTCAAGGCATCCATCTGGTAGGAGAAATTTCTCTACAGAACTATTTAATGTAACACTTTTTCCGTTTGCTCTGAATTAATTTTACGATGTACTAGAGCGCCATCTGTTATCAAATTATAAAACTATTTTAGAGGCGTAATATTCTTTTTAAAATAAAACAATTTCTACTGTCCTTACTGCGATGGAAAAATTAAAGGGAGGGCCTGGCTCATCAGTGGTGAACCCTCCCAGCGGTTTCGCCAGTTTAATCTACCATTCAGTGGTGAACCCTCCCAGCGGTTTCGCCAGTTTAATCTACCACTGAGCCAGGCCCTCCCTTTAATTTTTCCATCGCAGTAAGGACAGTAGAAATTGTTTTATTTTAAAAAGAATATTACGCCTCTAAAATAGTTTTATAATCTGAATTAATTATTCGATACCATTTTAATAGCAATAACATTATTATTATAAATCAATCAAGTTCATTATTTTACCATTTTTATAGCATTTCAATTCAAATTTTAAATCTTGTATACCCTCATTTATCAATTTTTACTTTATTTTAAACAACTTTTAAATTTTAATTCATTAATTTCAATTTTACATTTAAAAAAATCATATTATATTTTAATTACTCGAATCATATTTTCTAAACTTATTTGTGTTTTTTTTTTGAAACCTTATTTATGGCCATAGTATTAATAATTAAATTTATTACACTCTTTATTTTACTTGACCTATTACTATTCCAATTGATATTTCTCAATATTTAAAAGTTTTAAAAACTAGTCCTAGATTTGTATTTTTATAAATATCAATTTTAAATTATCTCATCTCAAAATGTGCCTTCCATTTTCCCCACAATTACAAATACAACTATAAATGTAATATGCGAAAACTAAATATCATACCATAAAATTTCCATACCCCATTGCATTTCATTCCTGCCTGTGTTAAATTGTTATTTACGAAACTCTACCGAATGTTGTACCCATACCATAACCTTTTCTCTTAGAAAAATTTCGTAAATTCATTATTTTATAATTTTTCTAAACCTAATCACCGCTAATAATCTCCAATCTAACGATTTGTCTGAACATCTTAACGCAAAACTTACTGGGAAACTAAGGTTATTTCACCTAGAGAATCCCAGAACCTCCTGGATGAAGTTAATCAAGATAGTTACTAATAAATATAAAGACACGCCCCATACTATAACATCCCAAAATTGAAAATTCCCCGAGTTATGTAATGATATAAATCCCAGTATAGTAGAAAGTAGAGAAATATCAGTACAACGTACAACTGATAGGCACGCCAAAGTAAAAGTTAGGTATGATAATAATCACAAAACCACACAATGGATGTAGGCGATATAGTTTTAGTCAAGGCGTACCATCATCCAGATAGCGGTAAATTGATACCCTACTTTACAGGTCCATAAAAATTACTGAAATAATTTCTGATAATGTCGTACGTATAAATAGATCCAATAGGATTACAGGTAATGATAACGATACACTGTGCATGTAAATAAATTACAATATTATATTGAAGAGGTCCTCTATATTTCACCACCCAAATTATATATATATATATATATATATAGAACCTCTAAAAATAAATAGAAT